ATTCAGCTTTGATCACAGGAATAAATTACATTTTAAAATATTTTCAAATATTAAAGAGCCATTTTAAATTGTACTTAATATTTTACAGTATTACCGTTTTTACTGTATAATAAATATAAAAATACCAAAAAAGTAATAGTATAATATCTGAAATTATATTTTTATATAATTAATATCCAATGGTATTTATATGGTAATCATATATACAATACTAGTTTTTAAAGGTTTGGGGTTGGATTTTTTTTTTCAATAGAAATGAATACTTTAACACATTTATAATGTTAAAAGGGATTTCTATTTCAAACGAAACCTGAAAAAATGTATCATGGTTTCCACAAAATTATGAAGCATCACAACTGTTTTCAACATCATATAATAATAATATATTATGAACAAATCAGCATATTAGAATGATTTCTGAAGGATCATGTGACACTGAAGACTGGAGTAATAATGCTGAAAATTCAGCTTTGATCACAGAAATAAATTACATTTTAAAATATTTTCAAATATTAAAGAGCCATTTTAAATTGTACTTAATATTTTACAGTATTACCATTTTTACTTTATTTCTGAACAAATAAATGCATCTTCCTGATCCCTTAGATGATATGCTAATCGCAATTCCTCACATATTCAAAGCAAGAAAAAATGTTGACACGTGGTTGATGTTGACACACTTTCACTGTAAGAAAATCCAATGAACTGACAGCAATTTAAAGAACAGGCTTCATCCCTTTTGTAGATAATAGCTGCCTAAATCTGATGGTCCTGACGGTGTTTTGACAGTGATGCAGCGAGAGACACCGGCAACAGTGATGAGTTCAGTCATGGTTTCCTGATCCTGCTGTGACACTAATGAGTGGGAGATCTTTAGGCTCTAGGGCTTCAACAAGGACTGTCTCCCGCTCACTGCTCAGGAAACAAGCTCAACCTTGACAGCACACAAAATACTACAGCTATATTCTGCCTGCTTTATCCCTGTGGGTTCTGAGACGTTTCTGCAGGAGAATGATGAATAAAAGCAGGATAATTAAGAGCAAACAGAACAGCTGAAGATATAGAACATCTGACGCTACTGAAAGATGTTGTGATTTATTTGTTCAGTGTTACAACAGGTTTTCCGATCCCAGTTAAATTTACACAGATTACAAGTAAGCCATTCATAAGTTTTCATTCAAAAGAACGGACTAATAATCACATACAAACACAAACTATTCAGAACACCTTAGCAATTGCCTAGCAACACCCTAGCAACTGCATGCAAGCACATTAGTCTACAGAGAACACATTCTAAAAATGACACCCTTACAAGCACTAAACTACTCAGAATACCTTAGCAACTTCACAGCAACAAAAAACAAACATTTTATACTACTCAGAATATCTTAGCAACTGCATGGCAATACCCTGACAACCTCACAGAACATTGTAGCAAATGCATACGGACCCACTAAACTACGCAGAATACCTTAGCAACACCCTAGCAAACACAAACAAACATGCTATACCACTTAGTAACTGCATACCAACACACTGACAACCTCACAGAACACCTTAGCAAACGCATACAAACACACCAAACCAGTCAGAAAACCTTATCAACACCCTAGCAACCACAAACAAACAGACCATTGCTCAGGAAACAAGCTCAACCTTGACAGCACACAAAATACTACAGTTATATTCTGCCTGCTTTATCCCTGTGGGTTCTGAGACGTTTCTGCAGGAGAATGATGAATAAAAGCAGGATAATTAAGAGCAAACAGAACAGCTGAAGATATAGAACATTAACTTTAAAGCAACACCCTAGCAACAACAAACATGCAAACACTACTCAGAAACTCTTAGCAACTACATAGCAACACCCTGACAACCTTGCAGAACACCCTAGCAACCGCATACAAACCCACTAAAATACTTAGAATACCTTAGCAACTTCAAAGCAACACCCTAGCAACCAAAAACAAACATGTTATACTACTCAGAATATTTTAGCAACTGCATGGCAATGCCCTGACAATGTCACAGAACACTGTAGCAAATGCATACAAACCCACTAAACTACGCAGAATACCGTAGCAACAACCTAGCAAACACAAACAAACATGCTATACCACTTAGAATATCTTAGCAACACCCTGGCAACCTCACAGTGCACCCGAGCAAGTGCATACAAATATTCTAAAAATTACTTAAAATTCCTTAGTAACTGCATAGCAACACCTTGACAACCTCACAGAACACCCTAGCAAATGCATAAAAACACACTAGACCAGTCAGAAAGCCTTAGCAACACCCTAGCAACCACAAACAGAAGACCATTCAAAACAATTTAGCAACTGCATAGGAACGTCCTGACTACCACACACAAACGTTTTACACTACTCAGAACCTCTTAGCAACTACATAGCAACACCCTGACAACTTTACAAAACACCCTATCAAATGCATACAAACCCACTAAAATACTCGGAATA